CAGTGTGGCTCTGTGGATCCAGTTGCATTCTTCCCAGTGGTTTAATGGGTTTTGGTTCAGGCCCAAAACATTTCCTTATTTCCTCCAATACCCTTTTGAACTTTGAATTTAATTCAGCATTTTTGAGGACCAGCCTGTTCATAATTTAAATGAGAAAATACATGTACAGAAACTTCTTTGAAATGAAAGTTGCTACATCACTGTGCTCAGATGGGAGTTGCATTTTAACTAGTTATATGGTCCATGAAATATTAGATGGAAGGAAGCAAATGAAAAGGAATTGGATTGAGTTTCTCCTCTGCCTCCGTATGCAATTGCCAGGTGATACCATAAGTCAATACTTAGCACAATTGATGTAATCTGTTCGTTTCAAATGCAAACAGTGGATTAAAAAAGTAATATAGAACAGTTGCTATAGTACCAGTGTTTAATCAACATGCATAACAGGCAAGCTAAATTGTTTGTTTAAAGTTTAATTTATTGTTGGTAGGCTACCTGTGAGGTTATTGTGAAACCCCAGGTAAAAGTCCTGTAAATCCATGATCTGTTTGGTTTTTTGGATTTCTTTTTTTTTTTTTTTTTTTGGTTTTTTTTTTTTTTTTTTTTTTTAATTGTTCTTTCTTTCCTTGAGTATACTTTTGTGGATGGTAACTCAGCCTAGCGATAGACATTTATCTTGAATTAGCCCATTGAAAGATATGTAGTAGAGGCACAGTGGCATTTAAATATAAAGCCAAAGGAAACAAGAGATCAATCTCTTGTTGTGTAATTAAAACATATTCTGCCTAGAGAGCCCAAAGGTCAGGCTGAGCATATTATGCAATATGTATCTGAGTGTATACATTTTACAGATGTGAATGGATTTAGAGTATTAAAAACTTAAGCCTACTGTCACTTACTTTGTTATTTGTCCTGCTTTCCAGAAGGTGAAGTAAGATAAGGTTGTGCTAAGAACTATTTAAAAACATATCTGCTAATTATGGATGCTTCAGTTTTTGTGTTCAACTCTCATATATTAGGTTCAATTTTTGGAAGCTCTGGTCTTTGGTAGCTGCGATGGTTTAGCTCTGTTGGCTTTCCAGAGATGCATGACGTTTCTTGGGTTGAGCAGGGGAGGGCCTTGCTTCGATGGTCTGCAAGGTCTGGTTCTCCGTGTTTGTTGGTCTTACAGTTTTTCACCAGTAAATAGAAGAGAGATGCAATTTGTTCACTTTGGATTGTTCAATGTATGCATTGAAGAGAATCTTTAGTATATTGAATTGGGAACTAGAAAAGACTTGAGAGGTTCTTGCATTTCATATTGGGGCCATTTTTATTGCTCTGGATACAGAAGAGGACTTGTGCACCCTTACGTCAAGGGTCTTTGAAGGGCAAAAAATTAGCAGAAGGTAGTGTAGCCCAACCGTTCTGGCCACTACAGCGGCATAGTCCCAGGGATCTTTTAGACTGAACAGTACTCTAGAGCCGTCATAGGACTGGCTGGTTGGTCTCTTTAAAATCCTGAGAGCGCAGTGTGGCAAAAGAGATCCGGGTCTTTAGCTTTGACCCGTGCAGGCTGATACTGAACTGAGCAATGAGTTGTCCAGTGTCTGTGCTTTCTCACCCAGGAGGGGCTGGGCTCTTGAGAGAGAGGCACTGTCTCTTCCCACTCAGCTGTCTTCTGATGCCCTGCTTTGGATGAGGACTCGTTCCTGTCCTTCCAGCACACAGCATGCTCTCCACAGAAAGACCGAGGTGGTGAAAAGGTGGCAGCTTGCTGAGTGCCGGGGTGATAGTGTGTCAGGATTCATCCAGACAGATGGGTGTGCTTGCTGGCCTTTTGTGCAAACTCTTTGTTTTCCTGCGGAGTACATTTGGTCTTTGTTTAGCTTGAGCAAATTGGTCATATAGAGTAGATCTGACGATTTTTGGTAAAATGTAGTAGCTGCATTTAGAAAGGGGAAAAAAAGAAGTATTCTCATCAATGCAAGTTGCACTTCAGACAAACTGCTGCCATATGGTGACAGCCAGCAAAAACATACTACAGTAACATATGCTTTCTAGCCTGTAAATACCACAAAAGCTATGAATCTTGCCCTGTACAAGTTTTGTGCGATTGAATATATGAATATGTTTGTGAGATAAGCATTCTTGGCTGTTTATATAAATAATATTCTAGAGTCACTGTTGTGTTTGAATAAATGGTCCCTGAAATAGAGAGGGCAGTTCCTAATCTTGCTGTCATGGATTAATTTTCCTGAGTGGTTTGTGAGTTCTGTTGGTGTAAAGGCCAAATGGAGAACTGTTTTTTGAAACAGGCTTTTTTGTTCATGAACAAATTAGTGGTTGGTCAGGCAATATTTTAACAGACACGTAGCTGAATTCCAAATGGTTCAAAACAGGAGGGAAGACTTAAGCATTTTTTTTTTTGTTTTGACACCTGAAATTGAAGCTGCTTAGTTTTCTGTGTAGCTGTTCCAAGCGATGAATTTGATATGCAGTCCCTCTGATGGTGGGAACATTAAAGAAGAGGAAATTGCCATAAAAAAATGGATGGAAATGTGGGTACTGAAGGAGGTTTTGGCTGCAAACCAAAATAAGTAGTCTTCATCAGAGCAAGGATTTGCACCCAAGTTAGTAACATGTATGCTAACTTTCAAGCCAGTGAAAATACTATGGAAACAGTGTCCTGTCTTAAAAATATGTTTTGGTGCTAGCAGTTTCTGCTAACCTAAGTAGACTGAAGAAAGCAATTTTTTTGTGTTAGATACCAGACAATAATGGCTGAGAGCTGGCAATGAAGACCACAGGAGAATTCCTTTGTGTAGGTAAAGTCTGGTAAGTGATATGCCTGGAGCCGAAGGTTTGACTAGATGGCCTCTGGAGGTCCCTCCCAACCCAAGTTATTCTTACAGGTCTTTGCAAAAGCTGCCAGAAACTCCATCGCTGCTGTATCTGTCACCAGTTAGGAGGCAGCAGAAGGAAAGGGAGCATGGGGTGCATGGTGGGGCAGCGGAAGGCGTGCGGTGGTGAAGGAGTCCTGGGACGTCTCTCTCCCCGGTGATGTACCGTATACTCATGCACTTCCAACAGGGCCCGTGGCAGGGTGGCAAGGAAGCTGGGGTCTGTGCCTGCTGGACTCAGCCAGGAATTCATCTCCAAATGTTGTGTGGTGTGATACCGACCTGCTGAAGGTCAGAGTTTATTATCTGAGGAGGCTGTTGCGGTAGTTGGTCTTGGAGGAGACTTTCAGGGCTGGGCTCTGTTGGACCCTGTGCCTTGGTGGTGGTATGCCATTTGATGCTGAGCTGCTGTGTCTTATGTAGAAGTCACTTGTTTCTGATCCAGATCTTCTGGAGGCAATAAGATGTTGCTTTTACATAATCTAATGGGCATTTATCTGACAAAATGCTGGGCATGATCCATCAAGACCCATTTTGTGCAGCAGACTATTGGGTAAGTCTTTATAACTTAAGCTGTAATAATTTGGCTGTCAAGGGGATTATATGCATCTGTATTGATTTTTATTTCAGATTTCTTGCAACCTACAATAGCCTTACAGACAAGCACCTGGTTGGATATTTCAGCAATACCAGGATAAGGAGACATCTTCAGAGATCAGGACTGGTGAGATTGAAAAGTTTCCTTTTCTGAGAAAAAAAGAAAAGAACTCGTTGTCTCTTTTCATATTGCACAAGTCAAACCACTGATGGTTGTGTTGTTTATTTGTTAGAGGTATGTGTTGTCATTGGTAAGACTTCGACCAGCTAGCCAAACATGTGAAATTATGCTGTGCCAGATCAAAGCCACACGATCACACTGAGACTGGGGGCAGGTTTGTTTAATCCAAGCATTTCCCACTGCATTATTATCTACCATTGGTCAACTAGATATTGCAGGGACACAGGGCTGTGGTGCGTAAGGCTGTGCTACTGCAATCAGAATGACAGAAAGACAAGTAAAACTTTGCTCAGAGCTTGGCTCCATGTGCTAAGTGGTTTTGAAGACACTAGTGACAGCTGAGGAAGTACTGTAGCTGGCACTGAGCATGTTTCAGGACATCAAGGTCCAAGGGCCACCTGGGGCTATGAAGATGCTAGCATGGGGGATGCTGATGCATGATGATTCCACGCTAGAAGTGATGTGCTAACAGTCAATATGGAGGCCATACTCCATAGAATATCAAGCTTAAGCTTCCACTGCACCTTCTGTAGTGCAACAGTCATAATGCTTATCTGTGTGAAGCTGGGAACAGTGGCTGACATGGATTGATGATGTATGTAGATATCGGAGAGCCTTGGCTTAGCCCTGAGCTTCTGCTCAGTAATGCATTTTCAGTAAGTTGTTACATATGGCACTGTATTCCTGCACAATTACGGTGATGTGAGACTGTTTGTCAGTCTGCTTGTATTTCACATCCAGGCAAAAGAAGAAATTTCATGAAGAGGTTTTGATAAATTGAGAATGTTTTCATGTTTTTGCCCCGTATTTCTTTTTGCTCATTGGAGTTTGCATCTGCAAAATCTTTCAGTTTGCAGCTATACAAATCATATTTACTCTCTTAGGTTTTTTAAACTATGAAATCTAAATATCTGTGACTCTACTGGCTGTTTAAATAGCTCCAGTGTTATTTTTCAAAAGTGTTTAATGGAAAACTGAAGGATTTGGTAAAGTTGAATGTGCTGAATATTTTTAAAAATATTTATGCGCTCCTAGGTGTGACTCTGTTTAGCACAGGCAGATGCAACCCTTACACAGTAGGAAGGCAAGTATTTAATTCCCTTCCACTGACTTGGGCAATGGCCAAAGTAGTCTTTCTGGGAAATTGCACTCTGTTTAAAAACGTATTTTACTCTGTCTTCTCATCTTCTTTTTAGTTACATTGTATTTGCTTATGGCAGATCTCAAGGAGTGGAAGAATAATATCTGAGAAAGAATACCGGCTAAATGCTATGAGAAGGGATCACCAAAGATATGTACAGGAGTGCCTGGCTCAGGCCATATTTCATAAGGTCCTTGACATGGAGGTATGCATTTACTAGTGATGTGTAAGCCTTTTCAGATACTTCCCTACTGACAGCCAGTGTCTGTTAACTCGTACTGGACTGTTTTCTGTAGCTATGGCCTCGTGCTCCCCTGAAAGGCCCTCTCCTGCTGGGTAAAAGGGCAGTCTTTGTGCTTGACGTCCCCCGTATGAAACCTCCACTGTTGTTAAACCGTACTGTCATTAGAACATACACTGTCCTGGCTCACTTAACGCACTTTGGCAGTCATCAGATTATGGGATGATATTGACAGGGCTAGTGTGCTTAAAAAAAATCTAATAAAAACAAAATAGCTTGAAATTTGGGCACATTCCTGTTATGTATCAAGAATGGAGTTGGTCCTTACAACTTTACAAGTGCTCAATTTCTCCCTTGCCAATGTTAATATACACAGGTGTAATGCAAATGGATTGACTCAATAGTAGTTTCATAATAGGGCTCAGTGAGGGTAATGACCAGGGAGCAGGCAAGTGATAAGCAGAACGAAGCAAGTGTTCTTACATTCATTGACATCTCGTAATGTCCATTAATGAGATTTCTCTTTCTCTTACATTGATAGCGTCATCATCAGCTGGAAATAAAAAGGAAACTTGAAAATTCTGTGAGGAAGGAGAGGGTGCAGAAAATCAAGGTGAGGCGTGAGTGCTACTGAGTACTGATGGGACATGGCAGTTTTGCCCTGTGTTAAATAACAGCCATGAGTCAGGCCAGAGATTCGTTGAGCCAAGTGTCCTGTCTCTGATGTTTATGGAAAAAGTACAAGAAGCAGGTAAGTAGAGGATGCTGCTGCCCCAGGTTACATCTCCTTCTTCCTCTATGCAGCAGTTCAGGAACTTTCATTCATGCACATGATTCCTTTTGAATCTACTTATTATCTTGGTTCTCCAGTGTTCTTGTGGAATTTAATTATGAGCTGTATGAAATGGTACTTCTTTGCATTTCTGTGCAATAATTAGTGTTATCTGCTGTCTGATAATTCTGTTTGATGCTCCGTTGTTCTCATGAAAAAAAGTTAATAACTGTTCCCTTTTTCCAAGGCATTTGTGGTTTTACATACCTTTTTCATATTCCTTCTCAATTTTCTAAGCTGGAGACCCTCAGTCTATTGAATCTTCCCGACATGAGCCATTCCAGGCTTCTCATTACTGTTGCCATTTTATTACCTTTCCTAGTTCTACTGTTTCTGTTTTGAAATGGGGAACCAGAACTGGATGAATAATTTAAGATACGTGTTGCAGTTCTCCTTGTAATTCTAGACTCTATCTGCTTTTGACTGCTGCTGAGCACTGAGCTCACATTTTCAGTCGCTTGCCTCTCCACATGATGTTTAGCAGAACCAGCATGTCTGTAATGAAAAGAGCTTTCAGAAGTCTTCACTTTGGTGTCATGTAGGTAGAGCTTGATCCTGTAGTTGTTAGAGTCACGAAAATCCCACAAAAGTCAATGGTTCTTTTCCCCATGAAGTCACTTGGACTCGTATGGGAAAAGTTGTTCTCGTTTTGGCTGAAAAATACTCAGCATCTTATTTCTTTATTAGGAGCCTGCATACATCAGGAAGAATGCATTGAGAAGCTAGCTGCTTCTTTGAGCAGTTGAACAATGTAAAATCTCTTTAATTTTAAATAATACATTTATAAGCAATTCATCAGGTAAAGAAAGGAGGAGATTTTAATGAAAAACACTGTGGTAATTGCAAAAGCATTATTTACTGAACTCCTGCTGGCAGAAAGTTGCTACAGTGGAAGTAGCAACTAAGGCACCCTATCAAGGGATTCTGGACTTGGATAATTTTGGAACATAAACCAAAACTGCTTCCTTCAGTGAGAAGCATAAGGGAGACGCTTGCAGATATGTGATCTCTATCTTTGCTGTGATGCCACACTAGGACACAGAAACCTGGCTGGAATTAGCAGTGTAATTTAATTCTCACCTCATACTTTCAGTGAATTTGGCTGAGTAGCTAATCTGAGAGGAGAAAGACGGATATCTGGGCAAGGGAGGATGAGAATCATAGCTATCTATTTCCAGAAGGGTAGTGAGCCTAATGTGGAGCTTTTGAGAAGAAAAGGTAGGGAGGGGCAGGAGCCAGAGCAAGGAAGTGGCAGATACACTCAAATTTAAAAAAGAAAGAGACCTTCAACCAAAACAAGAATTGGGAGATACACAGAAACAGGCAGGTGAATTGAATTTGTGGGGATCTGCAGCTGGAGAGGGCTGCAGGGAAATGAATCAGAGATGGGAACAAGTCTTTTCGCTCATCCCTCTCTCGTTCTCCCCTTGACTTCCTTTCCTTCCTTAACCAGGTCTTCCATCAGGTCTAGGCAATTTGATTGTCCAACGAAAGACAGATGGAAGGCAAGCTCAAACATTGCTGTTAAGAGTATTTAGTACCTCAGAGATATAAATTTCTATTCTTTTAGGTGGAACAATTGAGAAGATCAGTGGAAGGTGCTAGCCCTATGCGCTCCCCACATCCACCACTTGGTCCAAGAAATCGTTACAGGCTCAATCCTTTAGTGGCTGGAGAACCAGCTGGTCAATCGCAACTGGTGAGTTTCAGCAGATGCACCATATGCTATAATGTAAGCACCCAGAGCTGAACGCATGCACATATACCTATGACATCTGTGCTTAGTCTAGAGCATTGACTGCCCTGATTGTTCCAGATCAGGGCCTCATCCTTCATCACTTGAGGCTGATTTCCTGTTTGCGGGATTGTGCCATTCAAGAGAAATCTCGAGAAGC